GTATTCCACGTGACTTTGTACCGCATATATCGGCCAATATGCGAGATATCTCAATAAAAATGAACTAGCATGTTGTACTTATAACAGTGTGTATTTGTACCTAAATAGATAAATTTGTACGGGAACCCCATATAACTAATATATGATTGGTTTTAAACCTTGAAGTATTTCCCTGGCTTTGATTCTTGCAAGTTGCTAGAGTATCAAATGTTCGGTTGCATCCGAACTTAGCTCTTCCTTACTTGTTTTATACATACTTTTATTCAGGCACATCATATCGATGTAAATTTTCACGTTTATACATATATTTTTGAATTATGGTCTTTAGAATTTGTGTGAAGTAATATAACTTATTACCGAAGCAAATTTAATAAAGCATCAATATCTACTTATTAGAAGCTTCGTTAACAAAAAATTGTTATTAACTTTTTATCCTGCTATGATTGCTATATCAGCATTCATTATGTTGAAGTAGAATAAACAAATTATTGGACCACACCGCGTCACGAATGTACTAATGAACGCAATGAGTCCTCTAATCACCTAATACAAGTTGTGTTCCAAAGTAAGCTTGTTGAATATAGCGCCATCTGCGTTAGAATGTGCTATCTTTATCGATTGTCCAGTGAGAATTTCATGAAATTTCATCCATTGGAAGTGAAGTTATTGCGTTGTTGGGAGTTTGCTCGTAAGTTGCTCTTTGTAGAAATTCCAAGGTATTACACATGGAATGCGTCACGCAAAGAATGGAAACGTCGCTTGCAGGCCGCACCCGTAGACAGGTGGCCTGGTGTGAAAGCCTCACATATCTTGTGTACAATTTATATAATATACATAACACACTCTTTGATCGTTGTTATTTACTCAAAATCGTAGATGGTCTCGTAAAGGCCAGTTTCTGAGAAGTTTTTAGGGCGATGAGGTTGCATGCAGACGACGGTCACTGGGACGAAACGATGGACGACGCCATATTATGCTGGACAGCGCCTACGCAGAGAGATTATAATAAGCAACTGCGGACTACCTAACCCCTGCATTTGTGGGACAAGTAAAAAAACACGTTTTGTCAGAAGACGATGCTAGCCGATACCAAGGAACAACACTAACCAGCGATGACATAATTTTTAACGAATCGCTGGAACTCATTCGGAATAAGATTTTTGGTTATTAAATTACTGCCCAATTTCATGCGTGCACCACAAAAAACTGGACAACTGTCACTGATTTACAAAATATAATAATAAATGTAAGTGACGGGAAGTAAAATATACTAATGAAAGCAAGTAAATCTATGCTTATAATCTATTCACGATTTCATCGAATAATGAATGTTGAACCCTATCGCTACATTTTTATACTCTTACAACGGTTAAAAGTTGTTTGTATCATCTATAATACTATATTTCAATGTAAATAAAATCTTGAATATATGTATATATTTGAAAACTATTAAACTTAAACTAACTCAAAATTACAGTCGACTACAACTATTTATAAATTGGTAGACTACTTTTAATAATTGGATTATAGCTTTGATGTTTTACGTTTTGAAAAATGTATAACTGAACAACTTAACAAGTAAGGAAGGACTAAGTGTGGGTGCAATGAACATTTCATATTCTTTCGATTTGCAAGAATCAAAGTCAGGGAAATACCTTAAGGTATAAAACGTCAACCAGAGGATCGAAATCGAAGTAATTATATGCTCCTGGCCGCCATATTTGACATGAGGATTGTGAGAATAACGAAAATAATTATATGTAGTACTATATGTTGGAGTCATGTGTATAAGTTCACGCAATTGAGGAAAGCTCTCTGATTGCCATTTACGACTTCCGGTCCTAGACCTAATATCCTCTGGGTAGCCAAAGGACATCCGTTTGATGACGAGCTAAAGTGAAAAGGTCAGACATACCCTCCACAGGATTATGCGCTGGGTTTAGGACCCGCCATGTAAAAAACGCTTCCAATGAAAAAACACACACCCTCGGATGAGAGACTCCCATTTTAATGACGACCATTGCAAACGCAGTAAAGATAACGATTTAAGGGAATGTCCTGTCCCTTAATTGGGAACTGCCCAGCTGGTTAATGTCCTCGTTAGATTGAAGGCTAACATCACCGCAGTCCAAGAAATGCAAAAGATGGGACAAGGTCTGAGGTGAGTATTTCCTTGTGCCATTTACTACTGTGGTCATATAAAGGAGCGCAAATTCGGTGTAGAATTCGTGGTGGAAGAGATGAAGGAGTCTCTCTTCCATGTCGCTTGATATAACGGAACAGCGGGATGGCCGTCTGGGGAAATGCTCGAAAATTCTACGAAAAAATGAGGCGAATAACATAAGGTTTCAAGACCGGAGCATACTTTCTTAGAATCCCCTGAGGTGATCTAGTAACCGATGCCCCAGAGCGTTATCAGTGTGGCTTTAAGCTTGGAAAACCAACAACCGACCAGATATTCACCATGCGCCAAATCTTGGAAAAGACCCGTCAAAAGAGTATCGACACACACCATCTATTTGTCGATTTAAAATCTGCTTTTGACAGCACGAAAAGGAGCTGCCTTTATGCCGCGATGTCTGAATTTGGTATCTCCGACTCCTTCGTTATCAAACGAGGTTTCAGACAAGGTGATTCCCTATCGAGCGACTTCTTTATGTGCAGATCTTTCAAATAGAAAAAATCTACTCAAAATCATATGCAGCATGCAAAGTGGCGCACATACAAAGTCTTTGTTAAATATTATTAAAGCCTTGATCTACCATAACCTTATTGTCTGGGAATATAATATATAATTGCATACAAAACTCCGATAACATCCTGTAGGCAGATTTCCGGCTCTAACTCACTCGAAAAGATACTTAAAAATTAATTATACAATCACAGAAATCTTCAAAATGGTTAAGAAGATAGGCATAGATTTATCGAAACTAAAAACCTACAAAGTATTCAATCCTCTCTGGAAATCTGTAGAATCTCTTTTCATATCCAGTGGTTTTACCAAAAATAGCAGGAACCCACTTGTTTTAAGGCAACTACATGCTGTGGAAAATCAAAAATGGAAGCAAAAGAACTAAATAATTTGGTTCAAAGAAGATTTAATAACTTCTTTAAAATTTTTTCTGCCGAGTTGACCGTCCTTGCCCCGACTGTCGTGGAGTTGGAATGGACAACATTGGAGTTTTTTCGCGTTTGCCAGATGTGTTGTGTCCCCATAATTTTAAAATATTCAAAACAATTTATATAGTATAGAAATTTTGTTAGTAAATTATTTCGGTGTTTGTCCATTGTGAATCTCCGTAATTTTGACGTTTGCCTATGCACGTCTCTTTCATTGCCGCAATTTGACATAGCTCCTTACGTTTTTACATAATATTCTTCCCAAAGGGTCAGTACAGAATTTTAACAATTTTTTCATACAAAATTTGTGGTTTTATTGCAAAGTCTTTTACAAATATAATTCAATATTTATTATTAGCAGGTCGGAGATTACCACATATACGATGTCATTAACGCAAGCTGTTCGTAACTGCAGCCGTTTTGCTGCAAAATCACTGCGTGTAACTGCCGCAGTGTCGTCCACTGCCCAGCCACAAATGCGTTTGATGCACAAGGTTAGCAGCAATTCACCTGCCGTAAGCGCTTTGCTAAATCAGGTGAGTGGACAAAAGTTGAAGGATCAAAGAAAAGAGTGCGTTCAAGCAATACATACTCTTAACCTCAAAATGGTTTAGATGCTGCTATAATCAAAATAAAAATCATGGGAAAAATAATATAGTATTCAAGTAATAAGTATTAGATTTTGGTTGAGCTCCTTACCTGTATTGAGATAGTCATAAATATATACAAGTAATTGTAAAATAAACAGAGCATGTACTCAAATTTAGCGAATTCATCATAAATCTAACAATCATTTTGATTTATTTAAAAACAACCTCATTCCGTTCTTCATATTTAGCAAATATACAAAAAATCTTTTGAAGTGCGCACATATGCGTCAGCTAAACGCAGTTTGGAGGAAATTCAAGATCGGGTTTTGAAAGTAGTCGCAAGCTATGACAAAGTGACTGCTGACAAGGTAATAAAAGGTTTGGAAGAAGAACTAACTTTTTTTTTTTTGTTTTGTTCTTGTTTTCGGTTCATTAGAACAATTCTGCATGGCAATCACAATTTGTGCGAAACTATTCTGCAAAGCCGCCACTTACTCTTAAATTAATAGGCGAACGCGTCTTGCTCGTACTGAAACTGTATGACAAGATCGACCCCAGCAAGGTAATTGGTGTTTTTTAATGAAAAAATAATCAGTATGTGAATTAAGTAATAATTAATTTTTTAATCATGGTGTCTAGTATCGATAATATATATTTAAATTAATTAATCAATTGTTACTGCCAATATTATTTGATTGAACCGAAAACAAGTTATTTACGCTATATAATGCATATATTTTTATTCAACAGCTCAGCGTTGACTCGCATTTCATTAATGATCTTGGTCTCGACTCATTGGATCATGTGGAAGTCATAATGGCCATGGAAGATGAGTTCGGTTTTGAAATTCCCGATTCAGATGCCGAAAAGTTACTGAAACCTGCTGACATCATTAAATATGTTGCAGACAAGGAAGACATATACGATTAAGCCGTTAAAATGATTAGTTCTATAAAGGATAGTAATGCACGCAAGTGAAATGTAATTTGTTTAAACACATGAAATGAGTGTAATTTACATTTACTGTTAAACCAAATACAAACAAAAAACCTAAGAATGTCCGCATTATTTTGCTAACGATTGATATATTAATAATGTTGAGTACTGCATTAACGCTACATTAAGCACTTTTTAAGAATCTTATATTAATTGGAAAGAGCGAAAACAAAATAAAGTTTTTAGAGAATATAAGAATTGTTTTGTTAGATCTTCAAAATTTTACTTGTCTGCTTTAAATTTAAAGATGTGTGAGCACAGTGTATATTGTTGTGACCACTAGGTAACAACAAGAAGAAGCATTCAGTTTGAATTGTCAAATTGTTACAGAAACATAAAAATGAATACCAAGTCCAAATCTTGCTTGATCGATGAAATGCTAACTGAATTGGGTAATTTAACGTATTATTTACATTATGTCAATTACTTTTATAACACATTTACCATTTTGTAGCAATTAGTCGGCAATCTATGTCTCATCAGTCGAATGTAATTTCAGACGTCATTGATAAGTCAAATAATATAATGCTTCAAATTGAATCTACGCGCGGTAGCACAAATAGTGCCAACACTAATCCAGATAACTCCATAAATAAAACATTTTCTTGTAAAAAGGAAATAGTACAGATTTTGGCTAAAATAATTGAAAATTCACCACAAATGTTTAGCGCCAACATGCAAACTCTCGCAGCCAGCTTGAATCAAAACGGTGACCAGTTTGAACAGTATCTAGAACAGAGTCATCAACGTGCTGAGTATTTAAGTAGCTGTGTAAGAAAATTGCTAGCTGTGGGCGATACACTAACCCAAATAAAAACTGTTCTACATGAGGAAGTTGATGACATTAATAATTCTGAAGTAAATGAAGCATCGAGTGAATAATTTTTGTCATTAAGAAAGTCACTTATCAATAATTTCTATATATTTTATATTTTAAAACGTTTTACATACTGGAAACTGTGTTTAATAAATAGGTGATTAAATTCATAAAACTTTCTGTGCGCGCTGACTGTGTATTTGCTGTTGGCGTTCCATTTGTAAATATTTCTTGATTTTCACGTATATAATTTAGTTCTTCTAGGTTAGCAAGTATATTTTGTAATTTTTTTTCCTCCTCGGGTTTGAAAGCTTGTTCAATATTGTTTACAGCTGGACATAGTTTCTCCAACTGCTTCGCGAATGCAGATAATTGATCCAATTTCTTTTCAAAAGACTGAGCGCATTCTTGTTGCTGTGTTTCATTTAGAAATTGTGTAAGTTTCTGCTGAAATTTTTTAAAGCCATTATAGATCTCCGAGGCTGAAGGTAACTCCGTTGTACAGCTCATATTTTGAAGAGAAGTGCTTCCTGGTGATTGTTCACGTGAATTAACCATTATGGTCATATCTCTCGCCATTGTACAATTCATTCGCTGTTGCAGCTCTTTTATTGGCAAGCGTTTAGGCTTGTGTAAATTGGAGGGATACTCTTCAAATGTTTTAAATATATCTGCGAAGTCAGCTACTGTAGGATTGTCCTTGGAGGGTGTAATTTCAGAATTAATATCTTTAATTTCACATTGATAACCATCATAAAAACTCGACAGGTTAATAATTGAGGTTTTTACCCTATGCTCTTTGATATTATTTTCGTGTGTGTTGTAATTTTTATATATTTTTTTAGAGATTTCCGAAAAATCAACACTTTTTAATGCCATTTTCATATTTTAATTGAATATTCAAATATCTGACACTTTGTGGCGTAATTCACAATAATTGAAATAAAAATAAACGTACGAGCATCATGTGCTGAACACATAGAGCGCGACAGACTACAAGCGACAGCTGTCAAATATTAAAATACACGTTCTCATGGGTACAGTTATGTAGTTGTGCAGCTGTCTTAATGACTTTGTCTTTAAGAACGTGTGCATTTTAATAATTGACAGATGTCGCTTGCAGTCTGTCGCGCTCTATGTGTTCCAGGCGTCATGCCGAATTAATCATTAGTTATAGCCCTGACAGACGACAGCGCTAATTTGCATTAGCAGGCTTAATTGCTCAAAAATGGTCGATTGAAGTCTGCTGCCTCCTTTGCGTTTACAGCATCAGAGTTAAGCAGTTTTATATGGCTTATTAAATTATGTGCAAGTATATTAACAAAAACAAATATTAATATTTTTAAATGGCAGAAAATAAACAACTCCTAGTTTGCTATCCATTTTTCCAATATTCTTAACTTTTTCGCACACTTTTCAGCATTACAATCACTTATTGCTTTTAATTTCACTCCATTATCTTTTAACGTAGTTAATAATATACGTATTTTTTTTGATTGATATTGATTTTCCAAAAAAAAAAAAAAAATATTAATAATTTATCTTATTCACTTTTATTTCAGTATATTTTTAAATAAATAAACAAATTTCACTATCAGCTGTCTAAATGAACAAGTCGTCCATCTCTTACCATAAAATTTCAATGCGTGTTTTTTTTTTGCTCGTCTGCTATTAGTTTCAAGTTGGTAATATAGCATTTATAGGCTAAAAATAATTTTTATATTCGTTCAAAACGTTGCTACAGAGTATAAAATATTTTTTTTTAATCCAGGAATGTTTGTATCACCTATATAAATGATATGTCCGGACCTACTCCACCAACTTCAACCAAATTTGATCAACTATTTGGACATTCATTTTACAGTGCGAAATAGTTGAAATCGGACAGCAACCACACCTTCTTCCTATATAATATAACTTTAAATACCATCTAATTTTTTTACTTTCCTATAATATATAATGAAATCAAGCACCAATTAATATAAACCGTTCCCACGACAGTCGGGAATGGAACTTCTATCCGGCCAAGAACTGTCAACTCGATAGAATTCTGCCGTTACAACAACAACATAACGGGATGAAACATTGGTCGAATTAAACCTTATAATCAAGGTTGTCCAAATCGAATCAAAACTATTCAGGGCCCTAGGTAATATGTTGACTCCAGTTCCTATACAGAAATTCGACGAGAATCCTTTTAAGCGATAATGTGCCTGTATTGTTGTTTTTTAAATATGTAACCTTGCAACTAAAATGTATAAAATTGGGTGAAAACTTGCCCTAGCCCCCATATAACTAATAACACAATATCCGATTATCTTTACTCCTTATATATTGGTACCTTAATGAAATTAAGAGAGCATGTTTTCCTGTTCATACTCTGAAGTACAGTACAGTAGCATTACCAGAAATTAGAATCAGAGTTTGAAATACATTAAACCCTCTGAAATTAAAATCGAAAATTCAATTGGCTTCAAAGAGTTAATAATTTGATAAAAGGGTGCAACCACATTGATTTCTCTCTACTGAGTACTTCTTCTGGCTCCAATATTGTATTTTAAGATAGAAAAAAACAAAAATAAAAAATAAAAAAAAAACCGTTAAAAACAAAAGGGTTATAATTTTTGAGCGTCGACTGTAGCACCAAAAATAGATAAAATCGAGTACCAATACTGCATCTATCTTCCTTATACCTGATACAAGATTTTCAAACCTCCGTTTAGTCTTATACCGTAAATATCAGTCAATATGTAAGATTATCAGTCAAAATTAGCTGAACGTATAATATTGGACATATTTTAGTTGAACGCCGAAAATATGTGAAATTATATTACACTACATATAATAAATTAATTTAATCTAAACGTGATTGGTGTTGCTCTAGACCTTGGTATCATCAATTGCATTCTTCTGGTTGGGATTTTTCTCATCATCTCAGTATCATAAATTTAGCCTCTTTGGTCAGGTTAATGCCAGATATGTACATACATCTTATTTGAGAATGATTTTAATATAATTTGTGTGAATTTTAGAACAGCATGCCTATATTATTAATATATTTGTTTCGTATTACACTCTACAACAATTTTAGGAAAGGTTTTTACACGCCATAAGAATAATGAAAATAGTTCAAAACTCGCTTTCACGTATGGAAAAATTCAAAATGTTACATAAATAATTTATTAAAAGATACCGATCATCCATTTAGAATCCATTCTTACAATAGACTTCAAATGTTAAAAATTAACAATTTAGCTTTTCCTGTCATGTTCTGTAGAACTTTCTCTTATTTACCTATACTGGTCTTGATAACGTCTTTCTTGATGTTCTCCTTGTTCTTCCGAAAAAGCTCTTATGATAATGTAACATATGCATCTTTATATGCGCCTCAAAGCTTTGGAAAAAATTTGTCAAATTTATATTTGAAAGCAATTTTTTAATAACACCCAATTTAATAAACAACAATATACTGAACGAATATAGTGCATATATAGACATCAGCATTCAAAGTGTTTCATTTATCTCTTTATCACTAAGTTTTTTCCTTGACATATTTTTTTTTTTTTCAAATTTGCTGAATTAATTCGTCTAAAGCAATAAAGAAAGAAAAAAATGTTAAGTGTGCAGTAGTAAAATTACTTACTGGGGCCGCGTGATCACTGGTGCACTCACGAAAAACTGATGAAGTCATGGAAAAAATTAAAGTTTTCACTTTCTGTTTTCAAATATAAATGGACATAAACAAAATATTAATGGAATTTTTTTTTTGTGTTATATAACTAGATATTATAAATTAAGACATAAGCGCAAAACAAACAATTTTTTGTTGGCCTGTGTAATTTAAAGTTAGTGTAGAAATAAAAATAATCGTACTTACTTCGTTTTATTTAAAATTACTATTAAAAAATAACTATAGCTAATCGAATCTTATGAATGAATATTTATTGTTTAACCGTACTCCGATTGAATGGTGAGTGCGAATTGTCCTTTGTTAGGAATAGAACTGCCATGGTACCAAATTCTGGTATCAACCAATACTTTAAAAAACAAAATTAATACATTTATAGTTCTTAATCGATGAGTAAATTTAATGCATATAACGCACCTGCATCACCGGGTTCTACATAGAAGGAAAACGATTGACAAACGTGATCACATTCTGGAGTCGGTGCTACAATCCAACTTTTATTACCTTGCAACTGAGCTTGCCAAACTAGACGCGGAATATAATCCAACTAGAATAAAGATTTAATAATTATTACATTAAATTAGTAAAACCATAACCAACATGCATAAAATCGCCTTGTTCATAGCCAATAAATATATAATCCGTATTTGGCATTTCGGCATCAACAGGTAAAAAATGTGGACGCGGATAAAGTTTACGCAACTCTTCTAATACAACTGAATGGCAATTGCTCCAACCCACGTACCACGGCGTTTGACCTATGCTTAAATTTGAACGAACGATAGGCATTGCAAAAACATCTTGCAACGATTTGAAATCCGAACGAAAATTAAGAAATTGACATTTCTCGTCCATTGCACCGGGTATACGTTCATATAAATCTTTAAGATAATCGAAATTTAAAAGTTGCTTAGCCTTCCAGTGTGCAACAGCATTTTTTATTATAATTGGCTGCGATGAATATGCATAAGGTGAAAACTCTTCTCGCGTCAGATTTTGTAGTATCTTAGGTCCTGTTACATCCCTGAAATTTGGAAAAGTGTACGCATTAGCTATAATTTTTTAATTATCATATTTCATTCCACCTGCAGAAGTCGCAGTCGCTTATAGGTCTTGTTGCCTCCGAAACAATATAATTATTGGGCAAAAAGCAACGCACTCCCAAAAGAAACGTAATTATCTCATAAAATAATGGTGTTACTACCATTATGAACGCCAATATGCCTAGCACATACCACATATTAATTTTATTCGGATTAAGGTCTGCATCTCGAGATTTCCTATATGCTTCTTGCAAATCAGATGTTGTTACTAGGCCTGTGCGCAAAGCGTCATTGTGTAATGCATCCAGTTTTCGCACAAAATCCTCCCCAAGAGATTCCCGTGTTCGTCTCGCTGTAGGATTAACATTTCTTGTCGATGACCTGTTCCAAAACTATAATATATTTTTACATTGAAAACTTTTCAAACATTCCTTTAATGTAATTTAAATATGTTGTACCAAAAACATCACGTCTGTGTTAACAAAACTGCAGTAGTTTGAATTTTAGACAGACATATTTTATAAAAAGGAATTAACAACTTCAGTGTTTTGTATTAATTTATCAGTGGAAATTGTAAACAATGAATATGCTATCCTCACGGTTGTGTTCTTCGTTTTAAAATCGATAAATAGATATCGATAGTTTGAAGTTTATCTGGATTTACAAAGTTCTGATGAGGCTAAAATATATATTTGCGGTGCGTGGATCTCTATTTGGGAGGTAATATTCTTTATTATAAAAAAAATAGTATATATTTTTGAAGGTAATATATTTGGAATTTATATAAAATAAATTCGTATTGATATTATATTCGATAACCAGCTCTGCATAATTTTTTGTTTTTCACTTCCACACATAATTAGTTGGCAAAGTCGTAGAAAATGCAACCTTATTGTTTGGAGCTCAGTTGGAGCTGAATGCTCCATCACCCTCTCGCAAATCGTGTAAAACACCTGATAACATTTTCGTAATCAAAATTTTTCTCTCATCATGTCGCATGCCAACTACTTCATTCAGATCGGTTGGCGTATGCGGTTTGGATTGCTTTCAGTGGCTAATTGGACTCGAGCTGTTGTGTTGGATCAGTTTTTGCCAGTTTAGAAGCAAATTTTTACTGTGGCATTTAAGTATAAACCGCGGATAAGTTCGAGTGCGTGTATTCTTTGAACATTGAGCTTTGCGTGTACAATTTCATTCAACATTAATGACAATAAAACGAGCACCTTGGAATAAGGTCATTGGCAAATAAATATCTATCAAGACTTTCACTTTTAATAACGAAAAATATCCTAAAACTCGCCACTGCATTTCACAGCATACAAAAATGACAAACCATAAGGATAAGACCATACGTGTGGGCTCCAGAAAAAGTGAAGTAAGTGGAGAAAGCCGTAGAGATGTGTGGAAGCTAAGGTTATAATAGCTTAACAAAAGAAACAAATAGCAACCTTAATTATTGAATTTTGTAAATGCTTTTGTCTTTTAATAAGTACTTGAAGTAAAGCGTATGAATAAAATGAGTGGTAAAGTTGTTTGTTGTTTGGAAGCAGAGGGAACGCGAGGCGACTGTTGCAGATATTTCTTGTGATTAGTTTTTGGTGATTATACAATCTCGTAACTCACGCACGCACATGAGATTCCAACAGTATGCTACTAAACTCGTAACAATGCTATGAAAAAATGCACAATAACTGCGGGAACGATTTTGTGCCAGTGGAATCGAACAGAAAATATTTCGAAAAGGCATCAACTTATTTTCCATTTGTGCTTCATACATAAAAATAATGCATTATATTTGTATTTTGTATACAAATGAATGCCTGTCTGTATGTATTTACATATTAATCGTTCGTTTGTGCATATTTTGGAAATGGAAGTCATTAAAGTAGCGCAATGAGTAGCCTTATTCAGTTTTGAATTTGCTTGCGCATTTTTCTTACATTCAAGTAAAAGGTACTATCTGCCAGTAATGCTATATTGTACTACTGTAACTATCACACGTGTTGTCAAAACTGTCGGATTGACGAATATAAAATCAGAAATTCAAATAACTTTGAATGATAAGATTTCCTTTTAACTTCGGTGTTTTAAATGAAATGCTTTTATTCTAAAAACTTGATGAGTAGCCCAATCACTGGTATTGTAAAGTTAAATTATAAAGAAATTTGAGTTTTTATTTTACTGTTTCGAGTTTATTTATTTCCATTCAACAAACGCTACAATTGTTCTATGTTATTTTCAAAAATATATTAATCGTTCGCTTTCTATGAAATGAAACAAAGGCTTTAACTTATTTTTCATTGTTTTCTTATAATTTCAGTTAGCGCTCATTCAAACGAAACATGTCATTGCACGTTTACAAAAACTCTATCCCAAAAAGAAATTCGAAATCCGTAAGTAATTCTTAATTCCTAATTTTCGCTGAATTGGTATTTACTTCCTTGTTTGTTGAATTGTCTAAATTGCTAAAATTGTTATATCGTATATACAGTGTGCGACTATACTAAAGCTCGGAATCTACATTGTTGATATTTAAATGAGTAAATCATTAAGTAGTCATCAAAAATTGTTATTTATTTTTATTTTTAGGGTATTCATTGTTTAATAATAATTGATTAATAAAAATTAAAAAAATGTCGCTTTTGAAATCGAACCCATGGAAGGACGCTGCGTATTCAGTGCCTCTGAAAACCTGTTCCTCACCATGACTTACTGCCAAGTCCATACCAAATAATTGTAAAATTTCTAGTACTAAACCTAAAATAATAGTATTTTTTGCACCAAATATCCTGTAACAAAAAAAAAAAAAAAACCATGAAGATATTAGACCGCTTTGCTTACATAAACGATGAATACAGACAGAATACAAGTCATGCTCTCATACTCACCGCATTAGATAACACAAAGTCACTTGCAAGGATATGCTTAGCGTACCAACAACAGCAATACCAAATATGCACGAGTATTGCCCCGCCTCACGCAGATATGACAAAAGTACAGCGACACATTGCATTAGTATGGTCTGAACGGAGCACGGTAAGATCCTCCGACTCCAGCGTCTCTGTTGGATAGTTGAGAGACAGTATAGCCATTCAGATGCCTTTTAAAGCATCCACATATCTGTGCCGTCTCTCCTCCACCCGGGGGGCTTTGGTACGGAGGATTAGCCTCCGCCTGCTCTCGTGCTATTGCCCTTCAGATATTTAGAACTGGATGGCTCCTGCTTCGTGATTTGCCTGCTCTTCGCGGTTTGTTCCTGAGTATTAAACCTCCAAGTAGAACGAGCGGACGGGGTCTTGCTGCTAAGCTCCTTAGCAGGGGATACACTGTTTCCCCTGACGCTGCTACAGGCCAGAACCTCCACCGACTCATGAGTCTTTCTCTCCCGGAGGTGCCGCAGGTACCACTTCAAGCTGGCACCACTCATGCGCTTCCCGTGAGTGTCATCGTGCCCGCCGTTTTTGCCTTCTGGTGGATGAGGTCAGAAAACAACCAAAACAGAGGATAGGCCTGTCATTCAGACAATAAAAAATAACTTTTTATATCTGCAACATCTTATGCCAGCCAATTGCGGTTAAATATATTTCCGAGATTTATACCAGATCGAGCTATTCAAAATAATTGTAAATTTCTTTCAAGAACAGCTGGCTGAAGCTGGTACGCATATATTATATGCACTATGAAACACGGAGACAATATACTCTTGTGGGGTTGTTTTAAGATTTATAAAAAGAATATTCTTCAGAATAATATGCCGCAGTATTATAAAGAATAAATGCCTTTTCCGGCGATATAATAATTAATTAATTGTAATCATGCCGCGCCGACGTGAAACAGTATTGAAATAAGAGATACGAAACCATATATTAAAAGATGAAAATAATTAGAAAAATTTTTTCTAATTAAATTATTGATTTTATTCAAAAAATAGATTTCGTTGCTTTAATTTTGTAACCCACTGTACATACATATAAATATGTAGGCACGTGAGTATACAACTGAAAACTGCTTATCATGTGTACATTTTTATGCATATAGGTACTATTGAATCTTAAAAGTACTTAGTACTCAGACTGCAAGTGAGTTTTTGCTTACGATATGCTTGCCATTTTATTTGGCTCTTACATACATTTGTATGCATATAAATATTCAAATTAATAAAATAGTTCTTATAATTCGTATTATAAATAAAATATATACTTATTAAACGCAGGTACATAATGGATATGTTGTTGTTAAGGGGCAATAGGGTAATTTGTCCTGTTTTTGGAAATTTTTTCTTAGAAATTTTTTATTCTACAATAGAACTTTTTTCATATATCATGAGCTATATCATGGAGTGTATAAACAAATGTTTTTCGGAATTTTTTGACGACATCTGTCGGAGAAATGGCTGGGTGAATGAGATGCGTTTTTCACTCGCGGACACGATTTCTCATGTTTGGATCACCTGAAACACAAAAACCCAATTTATTCTTAAAAAGTACGTGAATGGTTATCGTCCCTACTAGAATCATGAAAAATTTTGATTAATCAAAAAGTAATTAACGTTTTTTTTAACGATAGGCAGGCGTGTTGTAAACATGAAAAACATTAAAAAAGTAAAGTAAATCGGTTGAGTAGTTCGATCGGAATCATGTCCGCCAGTTTAAAGGAGTGTGTTTTAATAAAAACGCGTTTAAAGTTTGAGGTGTGCACTCCGAGCGCTCCGAACGTCGAGCGGTATTCTTATTTTTGGGCCTTTTTCGAAACCTTCCAATTGTAAAGTGGGTTTCTACATTAATTCTAAGGGTACAAGGGAACAGAAAATGAAAACTTTGTTTGAAAAAAGATTACCCTACTGATTCCTTAACAGATAATAGTAATTTTGTATGCACCTATGTAGGTCTTTGCATATAGCTGCGAGCAAAGAAATAATAATGAGTATTCGTTAAAAAAAATTTTGATATTTATTTATTGATACCAAATAACATTCTGTAATATGTGACGTCCCTATTGCACTCAATTTTAAAATGTTAATTATATACCATTAATCCGTAACTTGGTAAAACATTAGATTTCAAGTCAAGGTAATAGTTTTTAATATACTTAAATTGTAAGTTTGACAGGTTTTCCCTATTTTTAAATGGAAAATAAAAATATATTGTTTTTTATTATTTAATAGGACGAGCGAAAAATTTAAAAAGGGAAATTTATTCCTTTATTAAAAAAAATCATTAACGACGATGTCTTAGATTTGTGCAAGATCAATCTAAAAATGTGGGAACATACTTTTTTATGACCGAAAAGGGTTTCGAGAGTGCAGGTGACTTCCCCCTAATACAGCGTATAACCCGCGATATACCACGATATGGTGATGTTTCTGTTGTTGTTGTTGTAACGGCAGAAATCTGCCGAGTTGACAGTCCTTGGCCGGATAAAAATCCGGATCCGTTCCGGTTTTCGTAGACCCGACTGTCGTGGGAATGTTTCTAGTACAGAGGTGTTGGTCCGATTCATGCCGTTGGTCCGATTCATCGTATTGAAAGTATCATGGATCAGCACTATTTGCAGAAGATAACATCCTGCTAAAAGTGATGTTTCACCAGGACAAT